CGATCAGGAAAGTCGAATGATTATTCACTTCGATAACGATGATCAGAACAATTTTTTTGTCGTCCGATTATGAACTGAATTATTTGGAGATCTGAGGATGAGGCTGTGTAGGGTAAGGGTGGGTGAGGGCGAGGATGAGGGTGAGCACTTGGTGCTGAACGGTCGTTATTACTCAGATGTCGGTCGCTCAAATGTCGGGTCGCTCAAGTGTCGGTCGCTCAAATGTCGGGGTCGCTCAAGTGTCGGTCGCTCAAATGTCGGGGTCGCTCAAGTGTCGGCGCTCAAATGTCGGTCGCTCAAATGTCGGGGTTGCTCAAGTGTCGGCGCTCAAATGTCGGGCGCTCAAACGTCGGTTAATCATCTTTTTTACTTTGTTTTCAGCTGTGAATTCTGCGCGTGTCCCTATAACGAGCGCCACATCGACGAACACAGTCGCCAATGCCGACAAGATAATGACATAGATCATCAGCGGATTGAGTTCATTGCTCGTCATGCAAAATATCCGTGTGATTATAATAAATTGGAATATCTCTATATGAAACGAAAACAAAATGGAGAATCATTAGAAATCATTGATATCATTAATATGTTGGCTGAATTTGGTGAGCCTCTCTTCGAATCTCCAAAAAGAAAACAGTTTAGATAAAAAAAAAATGACAATTCTTATTTTTTTTCTTCTTCCAGGTCCGATTTTTCCTCTCGAAATGCCCACTCGTATTTGTGATATCTGCGTCGATACATATCCGTATGGTGATATATTTGTGTTTGACTGTGACTTGACGCACAAGTCGTGCTACAGTTGCTATCATCAGTCATGCCAAGTTAAAATGCAAAACAATGAAGTTCTCACTTGTCCGATGTGTCCTGGATATCGACTAATGGACGGCGAATTGAATCAACTTCGTCTTCCGCCAAACGATGTTCATCGGTTCAAAGACTATCAAATGCGACAAACATTCAAAATGTACAGTCAATCAACGCGGGGTATCATCAAGTGTCCGGCTGAAGGGTGTGCCTGGATAGCTGAAGCACAAAATCCAGAAGAAAGAATCAGAGTACAGTGTCCAATGTGTCACAAAGAATTCTGTTCGTTGTGCAATCAGCAATACCACTATCGAACACAATGTCAAGCGATACCGGCACTCACTCAGCAATGGTTCCTCTGGTGTGATAAAGGTAACGACACATTGTGACCTTCTGTGTGAGATTTAAATGATTGGGGATTTAGTGAAAAACGAAAATACTCTAATGTGCGATTTCCCCAATCTTCAAAAGATCAGAAGATCTTTCCCCCAATCTTCTTCGTAATGAATAGTTGCTTCTGTTGTTTAGAGCGCGGTGAATATCTTACTGCTCGCGACAGGCAAGACGCTGCATACGCCAAACAGATGGCCATCTACACTCGCCACCAAGAGACCAACAAACAGCAAATCCGTGAATTGGCTACTCGCTATCGCGAGCTGCTTGCCGATGAAAAATACAAAGCAGCCAACTGTCGTCACTGTCCGCAGTGTCGTCGAGTAGTAGAAAAACTCGGTGGTTGCGAACAAATGGTCTGTGGCCAAGACGCCGACGGTGGGAACAATCAGTCGGGCTGTGGTCACAAATTCGTATGGGAAAAAGCTCCAGTTTACGATGCCCAAATAAAGACTTCTTCACAGCCGGTATTACTAAAACATCCTGGCCGTCGCGCACGTCAAGCCGTTGGCCACCAACATCGCGCTCTGGATAGAAATAAAGGAGGCTCATTAAATCAACCTATTATACAAGAATCAGAAGAGCTACTACATCATAAAGGTGCGAAATGCGATGCCTGCCAAGAAGATATTAAAGGCATCAAATTTGATTGTATCCATTGTCCAGCATTGTCTTTTTGCGAAAAATGTGAACAAGAACAAACGTTGCAACATTATAATGAAAATAATCTCAAGGGTCAACAACAGCATGTGTTTAAATTGATAACTAAACTAGATGAACAACGATGAATGAACTGAGTTATTCTCAACACTTTCTCAAACAAAAAAATATTGTGCTCCAGTGGCGGATCCAGAAAAATTTTCGGTGCTGGCAGTCATCAGCACCCTAAATCTGCTACTGGTATGCTCGATGTGCTTTTATGACACTCTTCTCTTCTATTAATGCTCTACTTGTTTTCACATTTTACAGTAAACTTTGCACACTTTTTTAATAATTCATTCTTTATAGAGGCAACTGCTTAAATTATTCTTCCTTTTCTGCAGTGGTGGTTGTTGTGTTTTTAATTTCCATGTCTACGTTCGTCATCACGAGTGAGCAGTGTGAGTCAAACATAATTATTTATGGCTGCTTGTGTACACGCAACAGAACAGAACGCGGCATGCACTCTTTTTTATATTAGTATATTAGATAGTACTGGGCTCGGATGTTTTTTGAATAACATTTGATAGAAAGTAGCTAGAGAGCTTCGACCTTCGCCATGCGAAGGAAGAGACTTGCTGACATATTTTCACAATTATAAACTTTTCCGGAAGTACTCTCTGTAACAAGTTTTTTAGTAGGTCTTTGGAAAATCAGGCCGTGTGTAAAAATTATTCAGTAAGATTGTATTGATTTTCTTCTATGCTATGATAGGCCAAGGTGTCCTCTTCAAAATGAGAGTCAAGCGCAGACCTTGATTTTCCGCGGCTTAGGCGTTGTGTCGGATTTTCTGCAAGCCCCAGGACTGATACCCAGTGACTATTGGTAGCCTTGAAAACGGATGGACTATAGGTAATCGATCATACTGAGTCTTGTGCCAATATTTTCTTTTAGAAAAAGTTCTAAATGTCTATCGAAAAGCGAGTTTTACGAAAATTTGGGTTTTCAGGCTGTTTTCACCTTCTATTAAAAAATTCACTATTCACTCAATAAACATCAGAACTACTTCAGACCTTCAGGATATGGTTAATTTTCTCCGCTGATCATGATTATAAGATTGAAAAAATCGAAAAAGCATATTTGTGTTAATGGGTTTTCCTGAAACCCTTTTGGAAAACCTTTGAGTTCTGTAAAATTTCTTTTGAGGTCTCCTATAAATACGATATAGAATAGCTTAAATACTCTACATTCTGAAGTTTTTGTACTCGTTCTGATGTTTATTTGAGTGAATAGTGAATTTTTTAATAGAAGGTAAAAACAGCCTGAAAAAAATGCAAGTTTTCGTAAAACTCGCTTTTCGATAAACATTTAGAACTTTTTCTAAAAACAAATATTGGCACAAGACTCAGTATGATCGATTACTTATAGTCCATCCGTTTTCAAGGCTACCAATAGTCACCGGATGCCAATCCTGGGACTCGCAGGAGATCCGGCACAACACCCAAGCCGCGAAAACTTTTCGCGCAATGGATATGCTTTCAAAAGAGTTTAAATCCAGTCAGATAGATAGCCCTGACAGCAGAGAATCTATTGATGTATTACGAGTGTCAGTTGTACTCAGTTTTGATCAAGTTATAGACAGAATAAATCTCGCAGAATATTTTTGATGTAAAATGCGCTTTTCTCAGGAACGAAGTGTTTCGGAAAGCTCGTTTTTTTATCACATACTAATCGTTCAAGAAGGAAAAAAGGGTAAAATTTTGACCTCAAATGGATTACTCATTTTCGAGTTATACACAAAACAATTTTTTAAATCTCGTAGGACATTTTATGTGAAAACAACATTGTACAGATAAATAAGCATCAAAAATCAATGATATACAAGATGTTGAACAACACTTACCTGGTTTACAAGAAGCCGCGCATTATTGATTTAAATATTACAAGGTGCCAACTGGAAAACCACCAAATAAATTTGCAATATATGATCAATATGATGATAGACGATATGCACTAAAAGTTATTGAAGAAACAAGAAAATATTGGTTAAAGTTAGCTAATGGTGAAACAAAAGTAGAACAGAAGATTTGCTCAATTGTTAATATGACACTGAATAATAATAGTACCATACAACAAAAGGAAGCAGAACAAATTGTTAATGAAAATGAACAATATAAAGAAGCAGCTGCAATTGATTTAACTGTTCATGACTTATGTTACATTGCTGATCAAAAAGAATGTATAACTAATGATAAATAATTTTAATATTATTTCTATAAACACTAACTTCTGTATATCGCCTTGTTTCTTTACTAATTACATACTTGTTTTATAAATATTGCAAGCTGTCAAATTTCTTGTACTGTACTTAGAAAAGTGGATACTAGTGAAGTTATTAATTTTTATCTCTTGCACTATTGTACGCTCCTGTACAGGGTACGATTGATGCTTCATCGTTTGATATAAGGTGAACAACAATATGATAACATGTTTGTTGGTACTTGATATTTGATATTTGTTGCTATATTGATATACGATTAACTTTTTTTCATTCTCTTTGCTAGGTAATGCTAAAGAAATTCAAACTTATAACAAACTGGTTTAATAGACGAAAATACATTGACAACTTGACATGCTCTACAATTTATGCAGATAGAAAAATGATTGAGCTGGACAACCGTTTTTCTAGGCAACTGGGTCTCCAAAAGCCCGTATGCTGCTCTGATCACGATATTTAGAATGCCTTTGTCGATGTATGTTTCGACGAAAAAATTTGGAGGCAGTTGGGGTCGTTTCCTCGTGTGCCTACTTTAGTTTCAAGTCTTGATATAAAAGTGTCGGTATCGAAACTTTCCGAGACTCGAGACGTTTCGAGACAATTTTTTTTGTTCTACATAGAAGATTTCTCTGGTGAATATGAAATGGACGTAATGTCGAAAGACATTTTTGTGGAGTAGATATTTTGTATGGTATTTTGATGCCACCGTTAAACCAATAGTTGTACTTTCAACCCACACTGGTGATCTATCGCTTTTGCAAACTTAATATATCCATCCGGACCAGTTTTTTCAATAGTCTCCTGGTCTTGTGTTAGATGGTATTGAACGTAGCAAAGACTGTGGTAGTTAACTGCATTGCATTCTAGCATAGCTCTGTCACATTAACTTCAGAGTCTAGCCAGTCTGAATGAGTTAAAGTGTGTTTATTTTAAACTTCAAATATTGTCACCCGTCAATATTGTCATACAAATACTTTTCGTTACATTACATTACAATAAAATAATGAATTAATTATGCTAATTAGAATAACTACGATTTTTAACAAGAAAAAAAGATATTGTACGTATTATTTTTTATAGTAATACTAACAGATATGCGACAAAAGTGAACAAATGAATAAAGTGTCATACTTTGCGGTGGTGTATCTATGAAATTATCTTCTCTTCTACATTACATATTAAATTGTATAGTGTTGGAAACTCGAAACTGAAGCAGAAATTTTTTATATTGTGTAAATTAGAGATACATCAGCTCTTTAATGGTTTTTGTTACGTAAGAATTGTAAAATTTCAATAAGTATAATCCGTGTGATATACGTTACTCCTTTCTGCGACGCATGTCGCATTTTGTCGTGGACATATTACACATGCCAAGAACATTCTAGACATCCTTTTCTGGGTCTCCCAGTCATGGTTAGTTCTAGTTCTGAATTATTTCTCGATATCAGAGCTGGGAAAGTCAAGTCAAAAATGCATCAGGTCCATGTCAAGTCAAGTCGGACTTGATTTTTGACTCACCTGAAGAAATTTTTTTCAAATCGAGTCATTTGTAGCAAGAGGTTTTCGTTTAAATTAGACTTTTTCTACCATGAAAGAGAGTTTCTCGGGCTATAAAGACTTTCTCACATAAAAAATAATAGCACATTTTATGTTCTGCCTAATTTTAACCAGACTTGACTTGGCTTGGAAGAAAGGCTTCACTCGGAGTTCAAATTTTTGGTATCTTACACCATACAGTTGACCGAGAGCGCGATGACTGGTAAACGATAGAGTATAAGCTCTTTATTTTCAAATGAAAATGTTAATCAATCACAATATTTTGATAAGTTATCTCAAGATTGAAGCAGTTGAAAAATAAGCACAACAAACTTGTCAAGCTAACGGAAAACTGCTATAGATATTTGCTGTAATTACTTTTGTTGTTTAGCCACACTGAGCTAATAAAATGCTGACAGTATTCGCAGCCTCATTTATCACAGCTATGTCTGACTTTTTATCTTGATTAAAATCGTCCGTGGTTAACCACCTTGGGCCAGATCCCGTTAGAAATGTTTGTTGTACAAGAAATGTTCCGTCGCCATTACCCTTCAATATGCTAACACTGTTGTTGCCATAATTAGCAACTGCCAAATCCAATCGATTATCGCCGTTAAAATCGTCCGATATTATCCAGTTTGGATGATAGCCACATGAAAATATTGTTTGTGTTGCAAATGTCCCATTTCCACGGCCTAACAGTATGCTAACATTGTCACTACCACGATTGGCAACAGCTAGATCTAATTTGCCATCTTCATTAAAATCATTTGCTGCTATTGAGTATGGCTGATTTCCAGTTGAAAATGTTTGTTGCGATGTAAACGACCCATTACCATGACCGAGTAATATGCTAACAGTGTCATTACCATTATTAACAACGGCTAAATCCAATTTTTGATCACCTGTAAAATCACTTATAACCACATGGTATGGATTTAATCTAGTTGAAAATTTTATTTGGTTTTGAAATGTTCCATTTGCATTACCGAGTAATATGCTAACAGTGTTTTCACCAAAATTGGCAATGGCTAAATCTAATATTCCATCTGTATTAAAATCACCTGATGCAACTGATATTGGATTTACTCCGGTTGGAAATGTTTGTTGTGTTTGAAATGACCCATTTCCGTAGCCTAACAATATGCTTAAAGTGTTAGTATTCCTATTTGTAACGACTATGTCCATTCTTCCATCTTTATTAAAATCACCTGAGATTAAACATCTAGGATTTGCTCCGACTGAAAATGTTTGTTGTGCCATAAATGTGCCATTACCGAAGTTAATAAATATTCCAGTAGTGTTATTACCATCATTTGTAATAGCTAAATCCACTTTTTGATCGCCATTGAAATCGCCGGTTGTCGCTGAATATGTGTTTTCTCCAGCTGAATATGTTGCCTGAATTGGAAATATTGCCTGACAAGCTATGAATAAAAAATGCACAAATAAACATTTTTTACCTCACTCGAGAAGAAATATTTTGTGAATCGGAAAAAATAAGAATCTTATCCATTTCTTATTGAACGTCTTGTTTTAAAATATTTTATTTGTCTTACGTTGAGGTAACTGGGAGTAAGCTTAAGGCTATGTGTATCACATCAGCAGGCAGCAGTTAGCTTCTGGTAGCCCAATGTTTATTCCAAAATTTAGAAAATATACAAATTTTTAAACCAAAAGTTTTGTATTTTTCATATAAAATCATTACTGTGAAACAGACGGGCGACTAGGACACCTGCGAAAAACGGCTCACTTTAAGACATAGAATTAACGTTTTAAATTTATAAGACCAATGACAGTGTAGAAACATATCCCGATCATAATATGATTCTATAGCCCCATCGGGATATACAGCTTTCTCTATGATCTTTTTAAGTTTGTTAAATTAAAAATGAAATCCATCTGTATTTTGTTCGGTCATGTATGTGGTCAGGATGTCGATTTTACTATTAAATTCAGATTCAATGTGAGAATATTGACTTCAGACACAATATCAAAAGTTAAAATCGGCGGACCATGCAACTTTTTTCTGATTTTAGGACGATGCGTAAACCCCAATAATTGTGTTGTGCTTGCACAAAAAATATTCAACAAAATAGAAACATTACATAGATTCTAACTCAGTTTTCTATAGAAAGACGCAACTTTTTTTCCATAGAATCGGCCATATTACAGTTTTAAAGCTTTCTTCTAATCGTATCTCGATATTTTATGAAAAGAACGTATATGTTAGAACTTACAGCATATATTCCAATCACCACATGTTAAATTTAAATTTGCTCTTCTACACCAGTTTGTTGAGTTGCATGTTGATCCATTGTATAACTGATTCAAGCACATTTGCCCATTCCAGAACGTATTTGGGAGACATTGACAGGAATTATTGATACACATCAAATATCGATTTATTTGGCATTGATCACATGTTTTATTATACGATGAATAAAGTTCTGGATAATAATTAACTGCACCTATCTGCGACGTTGCTGACGCTGAATTCACTGTGCCTGTCGTTAACTGACCTTCGAATAATCGACATCTCGCCGATGATGTATCATAATCAAATGTTCGACATTGTGCATTTAGATTGCATCGTTGAACACAAACCTTAAGTGATGGAACAAAAACTGTGCTGATCAATTCAACTGAACTAGCTGGCTGAAATGATATACCGAAATGGGTTAGATCAACCTGAGATGTAAATATTTGTGATCGAACATCAACAACAAATGAAAAAAACAGCAGTAAATGGCGATGCATATTAAATCGAACTGTAATCTTTTACTGAATAAGATCTCTGTCTTTTCATTTCTGTTTTGAAATGCATATCATGTTGCCCTAATAATTTTAAAATCAGCATTCCATTTCCGTTCGTTTAAATTATATTTACGCCGCTTGACTATTAAATTTACGTTTAACAAAACA